TTAATTATTGTCTAGTTTTTCGTCAGGTATTCTATGGTTACTTCATCCCTCTATATATAACTATGGTTGCTATATTTATTCAAAGACCAGCACAGGAATTTATTACTGGTGACACATAGTGAGTATAGAAGCAAAGTTCACTTTATAATCTTAACAAAATTGTGACTGCCTGACGATTTTCATGAAGATCCTAGTTGCAGCAAATTCCCCCTTGTACTAAATAACAAAATATATATCTGGGCGGTTGATATATATAACAAGGTCACTACAAGAATTTCAGCTGCAAGGCTAATATAAATTTTGAAGGAACAATCAAATTACCTCTGCAAAAATCTTGTTCACTTCCAATTTTCCTCTGACAGTAAAGTCCATATCCACAGCAGCTAATGTGGCTGGTTGTACTCTTGACCAAGGAAAATCTTGAATATATAAAGAAGTTATTATTAAGACAAAATTCCATTTTCAACTATCTTAAATATTGTCTAGTTTTTCGTCAGGTATTCTATGGTTACTTCATCCCTCTATATATAACTATGGTTGCTATATTTATTCAAAGACCAGCACAGGAATTTATTACTGGTGACACATAGTGAGTATAGAAGCAAAGTTCACTTTATAATCTTAACAAAATTGTGACTGCCTGACGATTTTCATGAAAAAGATCCTAGTTGCAGCAAATTCCCCCTTATAATAAATAACAAAATATATATTCGGGCAGTTGATATGTATTACAAAGTCACTACAAGAATTTCAGCTGCAAGGCTAATAGAAATTTTGAAGGAACAATCAAATTACCTCTGCAAAAATTTTGTTCACTTCCAATTTTCCTCTGACAGTAAAGTCCATATCTACAGCAGCTAATGTGGCTGGTTGCACTCTTGACCAAGGAAAATCTTGAATATATAAAGAAGTTATTATTAAGACAAAATTCCATTTTCAACTATCTTAATTATTGTCTAGTTTTTCGTCAGGTATTCTATGGTTACTTCATCCCTCTAATATAACTATGGTTGCTATATTTATTCAAAGACCAGCACAGGAATTTATTACTGGTGACACATAGTGAGTATAGAAGCAAAGTTCACTTTATAATCTAACAAAATTGTGACTGCCTGACGATTTTCATGAAGATCCTAGTTGCAGCAAATTCCCCCTTGTACTAAATAACAAAATATATATCTGGGCGGTTGATATATATTACAAGGTCACTACAAGAATTTCAGCTGCAAGGCTAATATAAATTTTGAAGGAACAATCAAATTACCTCTGCAAAAATCTTTTTCACTTCCAATTTTCCTCTGACAGTAAAGTCCATATCCCAGCAGCTAATGTGGCTGGTTGCACTCTTGATCAAGGAAAATCTTGAATATATAAAAAGTTATTATTAAGACAAAATTCCATTTTCAACTATTTAATTATTGTCTAGTTTTTCGTCAGGTATTCTATGGTTACTTCATCCCTCTAATATAACTATGGTTGCTATATTTATTCAAAGACCAGCACAGGAATTTATTACTGGTGACACATAGTGAGTATAGAAGCAAAGTTCACTTTATAATCTTAACAAAATTGTGACTGCCTGACGATTTTCATGAAAAAGATCCTAGTTGCAGCAAATTCCCCTTATAATAAATAAAAATATATATCCGGGCAGTTGATATATTACAAAGTCACTACAAGAATTTCAGCTGCAAGGCTAATATAAATTTTGAAGGAACAATCAAATTACCTCTGCAAAATCTTTTTCACTTCCAATTTTCCTCTGACAGTAAAGTCCATATCACAGCAGCTAACGTGGCTGGTTGCACTCTTGATCAAGGAAAATCTTGAATATATAAAGAAGTTATTAAGACAAAATTCCATTTTCAACTATCTTAATTATTGTCTAGTTTTTCGTCAGGTATTCTATGGTTACTTCATCCCTCTATATATAACTATGGTTGCTATATTTATTCAAAGACCAGCACAGGAATTTATTACTGGTGGCACATAGTGAGTATAGAAGCAAAGTTCACTTTATAATCTTAACAAAATTGTGACTGCCTGACGATTTTCATGAAAAAGATCCTAGTTGCAGCAAATCCCTCCCTTATATAAATAACAAAATATATTCGGGCAGTTTGATATATTACAAGTCACTACAAGAATTTCAGCTGCAAGGCTAATAAAATTTTGAAGGAACAATCAAATTACCTCTGCAAAAATTTGTTCACTTCCAATTTTCCTCTGACAGTAAAGTCCATATCCACAGCAGCTAATGTGGCTGGTTGCACTCTTGATCAAGGAAAATCTTGAATATATAAAGAAGTTATTATTAAGACAAAATTCCATTTTCAACTATCTTAATTATTGTCTAGTTTTTCGTCAGGTATTCTATGGTTACTTCATCCCTCTATATATAACTATGGTTGCTATATTTATTCAAAGACCAGCACAGGAATTTATTACTGGTGACACATAGTGAGTATAGAAGCAAAGTTCACTTTATAATCTTAACAAAATTGTGACTGCCTGACGATTTTCATGAAGATCCTAGTTGCAGCAAATTCCCCCTTTACTAAATAACAAAATATATATCGGGCAGTTGATATATAAAAGTCACTACAAGAATTTCAGCTGCAAGGCTAATATAAATTTTGAAGGAACAATCAAATTACCTCTGCAAAAATCTTGTTCACTTCCAATTTTCCTCTGACAGTAAAGTCCATATCCACAGCAGCTAATGTGGCTGGTTGCACTCTTGACCAAGGAAAATCTTGAATATATAAAGAAGTTATTATTAAGACAAAATTCCATTTTCAACTATCTTAATATTGTCTAGTTTTTCGTCAGGTATTCTATGGTTACTTCATCCCTCTATATATAACTATGGTTGCTATATTTATTCAAAGACCAGCACAGGAATTTATTACTGGTGACACATAGTGAGTATAGAAGCAAAGTTCACTTTATAATCTTAACAAAATTGTGACTGCCTGACGATTTTCATGAAAAGATCCTAGTTGCAGCAAATTCCCCCTTATAATAAATAAAAAATATATATTCGGGCAGTTGATATGTATTACAAAGTCACTACAAGAATTTCAGCTGCAAGGCTAATAGAAATTTTGAAGGAACAATCAAATTACCTCTGCAAAATTTGTTCACTTCCAATTTTCCTCTGACAGTAAAGTCCATATCACAGCAGCTAATGTGGCTGGTTGCACTCTTGACCAAGGAAAATCTTGAATATATAAGAAGTTATTATTAAGACAAAATTCCATTTTCAACTATCTTAATTATTGTCTATTTTCGTCAGGTATTCTAGGTTACTTCATCCCTCTATATATAACTATGGTTGCTATATTTATTCAAAGACCAGCACAGGAATTTATTACTGGTGACACATAGTGAGTATAGAAGCAAAGTTCACTTTATAATCTTAACAAAATTGTGACTGCCTGACGATTTTCATGAAGATCCTAGTTGCAGCAAATTCCCCCTTATACTAAATAACAAAATATATATCTGGGCGGTTGATATATATTACAAGGTCACTACAAGAATTTCAGCTGCAAGGCTAATATAAATTTTGAAGGAACAATCAAATTACCTCTGCAAAAATCTTGTTCACTTCCAATTTTCCTCTGACAGTAAAGTCCATATCCACAGCAGCTAATGTGGCTGGTTGCACTCTTGATCAATGAAAATCTTGAATATATAAAGAAGTTATTATTAAGACAAATTGCCTGACGATTTTCATGAAAAAGATCGTAGTTGCAGCAAATTCCCCCTTATAATAAATAAAAAAATATATATCCGGGCAGTTGATATGTATTACAAAGTCACTACAAGAATTTCAGCTGCAAGGCTAATATAAATTTTGAAGGAACAATCGAATTACCTCTGTGCAGAAATCTTGTTCACTTCCAATGTTCATTTGAAAGTAAAGTTCATATCCAGAGTTAATGTTGCACTCTTGTCCAAGAAAAATCTTGAATATAAAAAGACATTATATTAATATGAAATTCTATTTTCAACTATCTTAATTACTGTCTAGTTTTTGGTTAGGTAATCTATGGTTACTTCATCCTTCTATATATAACTATGGTTGCTATATTTACTTCAAGACCACCACAGGAATTTATTACTGGTGACACATAGTGAGTATAGAAACAAAGTTCACTTAGCAATCTTAACCAAATTGTGACCGCACTGACAATTTTCATGAAAAAGATCCTAGTTGCAGCAAATTCCCTCTTATACTATTGAAATAACAAAATACATACCCAGGCAGTTGATATGTATTACAAGGTAGTGACAAGATTTTCAGCTGCAAGGCTAATATAAATTTAGAAGAAACAATCGAATTACCTCTGTGCAGAAATCTTGTTCACTTCCGATGTTGACCAAGGAAAATCTTTAATATAATAAGACATTATTAATATAAAATTGCATTTATAACTACCTTAATTATTGTCTAGTTTTAGCAGAAGGCACACAAACAGTAAAGTAAAATACTTAACTTTGACCAGACAGCACAACAATCTTGCTCAGAAAGGTCCGCGAACGGTCCACGTGTATAGTTTTCTTCGGCATCGCCATTTTGAATTCGGCCGGGCGAGTCTTGAACTGATTTCTATTTCAACTGTTCTCTTGACGTTCGTCTTGATAACTAGCTGTTGAGATAAACGTTAATGACAAAATCTTCAGTTCTGCTTCAGTCTATGGGTACGAAAATTGCTCAAGACATAAATTTTCAGTAAAAAATTATCATCATTGCAGGCAAAATTAATCTCGAAACTTTAGATAACCTTGTACGCAGAATATTTCATATTGTATATGGTTTTTTGTTATTTCTGACCGACAATTAGCAGAAGGCACACAAACATCAAAGTAAAATACTTAACTTTGACCAGACAGCACAACAATCTTGCTCAGAAAGGTCCGCGAACGGTCCACGTGTATGGGATCGCCATTTTGAATTCGGCGGCGGCGAGTCTTGAACTGATTTCTATTTTCTATTTCAACTGTTCTCTTGACGTTCGTCTTGATAACTGGCTGTTGAGATAAACGTTAATGACAAAATGTTCAGTTCTGCTTCAGTCTATAGGTGCGGAAGTTGCTCATGACATAAATTTTCAGTAAAAAATTATCATCATTGCAGGCAGAATTAAGTTCGAAATTTTAGATATATCCTTGTACGCAGAATATTTCATATTGTATATGGCTTTTTGTCATTTCTGGCCAACAATTAGCCGAAGACACACAAACATCAAAGTAAAATACTTAACTTTGACCAGACAGCACAACAATCTTGCCCAGAAAGGTCTGCGAACGGTCCAGGTGGATGGTTTTCTTTGGCATCGCCATTTTGAATTTGGCCGGGCGAGTCTTCGCATTCATCTTGACAACTAGCTGTTCAGATAAACCTATATACAACGAAAAAAAAGGGTTCGGCTCAGCTACACTGTACTCCTTAAGGAAGGCCTACGGCCTTCCCGTAGATTAGTGTAAAGGCCTACAAGTGGGAACTAGCAGCGTGCGGGGGACCAAAACGCTCTAGGCAAACGGTCCCCCTACTGGGGTCGGACAAAGCAACCGCAGATTACGCATATAATCGCCGGAACCCACCTTTTAGTCAACGGCGAACTCCTTCTTCTTCGAACAATCTTCAATCTTGCTGAGCTTCGATCTTGCTGTCCACCTTCGATCGCAACCAATCTAAAGAAATTTTTTTTTAACGTTGAGATTAGTTTCATAGGCAATAATTACCATGTGATCTTAGCAGATCACGTGGTATGATAATGTACGACAACATGCCGATCAACTCCGAACATCATCGTGAGCGATGTTACAATAAACGAATCACTAAACGACTAGAAAAAAGTTGTCCTTTCCTATATTTCAACCTTTTAAAAGCAGTGCATTCTAGTTTTGTTTTGAAGCACAATTTGTTTTTTGCTTCTAGTTTTTTGGTTTCGTTTTAAAAGGTGAATTGTCTCTGAATTCTTTGTATTTCTGATGTCAAACACTCCTGTTCTCTTTGGTATCATAAATATAAGCTCCTTTGTTTTGGAGACATACAACAGTTTTTTTTATATTTTAGCCAAAACATATAGCAGCAATTACAGATTCACTAAGTTCATTCTCATCTTGATTCACAAATTTTTAAAGGACTTGAATCGATTCCATGCGGTCTACAATAGCTGGGCGAACGTCTTACACCTAAAGTCAGTCAAAGATTGTTGTATCTCAATTCTTCAGCTTCAGTGGTTCTTTAGACTTAGCAATAGTTTATTTCCCTTTCTTATCATTGCATTCCAGTTTAAAATTATAGTTTATATTGTATTTCCAGGCATTTATTCCATATTTCCCTTTCTTATCATTGCATTCCGGTTTCAATTTATAGTTTATATTGTCAGACAATAATTGTCTTTCCAGGCATTTATTCCACTACATATCTCCAATATTGTAAAAATGGTTCTTTAAGCCTTCAGATCAAAACATTGGCAAAAACAATCTGAAACACAAAATATTAACATCAGACTCTGATAAAACAACATTGAATCAACGTTTAAACAATTCTACTTCCCCTCATTCTAAGGCTACTAAATGGTGCTAACCCCTCTTATATATCAAACTACATGCATCAACCTGCCTTGGCAAAAACAAAAACGGGCTTTAAAGAGTTAGTAGTTCCATTTCTTTTCTTAGCACTTAATCGAATGTTTCAAAATACAAACTAATTTGGCAACACAGGTCCCACAATTATGTCAAACACCGAATACATGGTCTGAAATAATTCGCCATTCCTCTCGCCTCTCGACTGAAGGCGGATTTTTTAATAAAATTAAACCACAAATCTTTCTTAAAACTACTGCACCCTTACTGAAGTGTTCGGTTGGGGCATGGAATGTTAAAATAAAACAAAAACAACACACTATTAAAAAAAGTACGAAAATTTATTAAAATGGCGGCTTACTGCCTTACCTCGTGGTTTTCAAATCGCCTTTCACTTCATTTCTCGCTGGACTTTTAATCTAACAAAGCAGAAAAAATGAACGTCATTTACGTGAAATAAATGCTTTGGCATAACAAACATTCTTACTCTAAAACGTTGAACTAATGCAAAAGAAATCGACCGAAAAAATATTCAGAAAATTCCAACATTCGATGCGCGAGGACGAAGTCATATTAAAAAAGGCAGCAAACAAAAACATACGCTTATAAGATATATATCTAGATATACTTATAATCGGAATATCTTTTTCTCAACAAGCTTCACTTCATTAAAATAACTTTATAGTTTCTCTTTAAAACATAGAAAATTAAAACATTTCCGGGCTTTCCTTCCTTCGCCTTTCTTCTCCGAAATCTATCCTCGTTACCCGGTTTTTCGCGTACTGGGCGTGCCGAATGCCCCCCCCTGATTTGTGCACAATTTACCGTACAATTTTATATTATTGATACTGCATGTCTAAATTCTAAAACGATCAATATTTTCAATACATTCAATATTTTTTAGGTAATTAGTTATTGTATTTAAAATTAATTGTGATAATGATTTATTTGATTCTTTCTCCATGTAAATAATCATGAGAACAAGCATAGGCATAGAGTATGGGGGGCTGAGGGGCTCGGCCCCCCCAAGAAATCTTACTGGGGGGCCTCAGCCCCCCTAAAAATTTGCCAAAAAGTAATAATTGCATCAGAGCAATGTTGAATCTTTCAAAAAAGATCTTTATATACACATGAAACGGTATTATTATAGTTGATATTATAATATCGAGCAACTCGGAAAAGCAATTGCGAAATACAGAATTTTCAGCTGTAAATCATAAAATACATGGCAGCTTGTAAAATCATAAAATACATGGCAGCTTGTTCATTTTATCTTTCATTAGCTTTTCTACCCACAACAGGTCAAATCATTGGTAAATATTTTCTCCACCTATCGGCATATGAACCATGACTACCGATGCAACTATATATCAAGAGGAAATTTATTCTATTTAATTTTATCTAATGTCAGAAAGTGTTGCTAGCTAGATATCATGTATCTAAAGTTTAAGCCCCCCCAGAAGAAAACAAAACTCTAAACCTATGAGAACAAGTTTCAAAATTCATGTTTGTAAATTCATAAATCCTTGCTCTTTGCACAAAATTCCTCAGTCAGCACTTTTTTATTGCTAAGACTCCCAGTGAAATCAATTACTCAGGCTTTTTGGCAAACCTGGAAGGATGGCCCACAAAATCAATTTGGAATTTCCCACAATTTGCATAACTATCCAGAGCTCCCATTTTCATCATATAATACCAATAAAGATACAGTACAGATATCAGATATACAGAGACAAAAGAGTACAGAGATCAACTGAAGCACTAACATATTGTACATGATCCAATAAACATCTGGGGCTTTTAATTCTAGTTCATTAATTTTTTTTCATTTTTATTTTGAAAAATATAAAAATCTTTTCATGACATATTGCAAGTCAAGTTGCTCTGAGTAAAAAAGACTTGTAGAAAATTTCAATTGCTATAGTTACCCAGAACAAACACACCCAATGGTGGGAAATAGACGATTTTTGCAAACAAGATAACAAACTAGGTTTTAACGCTAAAATGACAGCATTAGTTTTTTTTTAGTTCTAAATATTTTTGCCTCCAAGCTGAACCTCAAATAAATAAAACTTTTCTAAAACATTTTACAGGCTATATATTTAAAACTTCTATGATGTATCAAAAATAAACAGTCCCTATTTAACGTAGACTGAATGGTTCACGTACCAGCCAATTGTCTTTAGAATAAACCATGAGAATTTTATCAAGTTACCTTTTATTATTTTTCGAGTTATCATGCACGAAAGTAAAGGGAATGACAATTTTAGTTTGCTAAAAGAAACTAAAAAAGTTTTTCATTAATTATACAGAACAATGAAACAAGCTAATCGACTCCTTAAATTTTTAAAACAGGGTAAATCTACATTTTCAATGACCAACACCACCTTAATGAAATCTGCCAATTCTAGAGAGAGCATTTAATAGAGAGAGGCATTTATATCATTAACACCACCATATTTTGAAGAAGTGAAAATACCACTAAGACTAAATATCAATAATTTGTGATGCCATTCTAATACATACAGCATCAAGTGTTAGTTAATGCAGTTTGTGCATGTAAACTTAAAAAGTCTCCCATGTGTTTCAAAGTCGCAATTTAGGGCATATGCCTATTGCAAAAATTTCCTCATTGTCAAAGTTTGTGCAAACTGTTTGTGAATGTTTCCAAACAAAACAATTAAATTACAAATTAAAATTGAACATTATAACCATGACACTCTGAAACACACAACCACACTAGGGACATTAAACATTACTGGGACGATTAAGTTCAAAATGGAAAACAAAATCATCTATTTATTGAACAACTGAGCTGAAATATTTCGATGTAAATAGTTTAATTGTCAATGGAAGTACATATTTAATGCGTAAGATGCAGGTACATTCATTCACAAGATCTGTTAGAGTACTTTTAAACTTGGGTTATCCACCGTTTAAGCTAAACGCCTTTCGAACAACCGGCCCCTGGTGTTTTGATTTGGAAGAGGCATTTATTAGACATAGATGCCTAGAAGTTTATAGGATAGAGACCGTTCATTGCATCATTTATGAGTGCAATCAAATCGAGTCCGTAAAATGCTGTAATACTATGACACATTTACTCAATATTCAATAACCTATCAAGCTCATTTGGAATAATACAAAGGAAAAGGAAAGCCCAAACGAAAATCATATTTGATTATATTTATGTAAGAAACTCACCGTCAAATGACTGAAGTAGGTTTTCAAAAGGGACTTTGTTATCCACCATGTTACAAATGAATTTGTTTGGATGCTTCCTTCTAAAAATGCAACATATACCAACTGCAGTTAATCCATACATCTTTAGCAACACTCGTTCAGTTCTAGGCAGACAATTTTTGATGCACAATTTTTAAAATTAATAAATATACCTTGTTATTCTGTGAGCTGATAAAAGCCTGATCTCATTTACAATCTATAAGATATCAAAAGTTGAAAAGTTTTACTCATTTGTAAAAGTTATAAGTAATGAGATGATAAAAGGCGAACATGCAGAAGGTGGGTTAATAGTTCACATATTTCCACGCAATATTTGTCCATTACTAGCTGGTAGTCATCACAGTAAACCATCAATTATGAGTAAAAGCAATCAGCTGTTATCCTTCCACATGTTAAATTCCACTTATTCGAATTCGAATAAGCTTTATATCGCTTAAGATTGCACTTAAAGAATAAAGCAAGGAGACGGGAATATTTTCAATACCTTTTCCGAGCTTGTAGCGCCAACATTTTACGATCTTTTTGCAAGCAAAAACATTTCTTGATTGACCACCATATTGAATAGATCGAGAGAGAAGCTCATCGTGAACTGAGCATGTGTTAGGTTCAGCATAAATTATAATGTCATAGATACGATTAAGTAAACTTCATTTGCATATATTGATTAAACTGATCGTAAATGTTCCTTCGACAGGTAAATGTTCCTTCTAAAATGGACGATTTCGTCATAGATTTTACTAATCTGATCGCATAAACTTTGTTGACTAATAGAACCCCACACTTTTTCTTTGATTTCAGACGCCATAACATCCAATTTAGGTAGATTTGGCTTATTATTTGCATTTCCTGTGTCATTATATTTTGGTTCCAGTGGTGTCACAGGGGAACGATTTGGAATGCGAACATTATTGTGCTCTGTGCTAATTTCCGTTGTATGGCTTTGTTCCAATTCCATCAGTCCCAGAGGGGATTTGTAAAGCGCATTCTCCGTGTCCATGCAAATTTCTGCAGCTTTACCGTTGCAGAGGCGTTACTGCAGTTTCCCCTTTGCTTTCTCAGGATTTATTTTCGCATGTCCTAATTTCTCGATATTTGAACTATCTATTAGAATTGCTTGCTGTACGGGGTGTTGAAAGGGGACGGTACCCGACTCGTTCTCCATACAGCTTGATTTCATTTTGAGCTTAGAGCATTTTCGAAGCTTACATATCTGATGACTTGTCTTTCTATTCAAACAACAATTACACTCGCCACAATTTATTTTCCTCAGGCACAAATCGCAGCTACCACATTTTCTCCTTCTTTTCTTAACAACACCTTGCTCTAAATCGACTATATTCTGATCAAGGTTCACACTCCTTTTGCCTCGCTGTCGCATCTTGACCGCCAAAGTTTGTTCATGACTCTCAAAGTTCATTTGATCAAGACCTTCTACAATCGTCGTAACTGACGATTTTCGATTGTAGAAACATCGGTAATATTTTCTACATCATTTTCTACGAGTTGTATTAAATGTTCAGCCAAATGACAAGAATTTTGGCTGATATTTTTTGAAATCGCAGAGCCCAAAATTTCATGACCGTCTGCCAGAAGTGACCACAAAAAAAAGAAAGGTCAAGAAAGAAAAGATGACAACCGAAAACCCTGAGAAGAGAAGAGCACACAACACCACAACATCTCATTAAAAATGTCTAGTATATATGTGACATAGCTCAGTGTGTTGATTGTGGGAGTGTTCCACATGCGCACTGAAATTTTAACCATGACCATATTAGTTCACTGCGACTGCGTGGCCTTTTTTTGCTATTCTATTTGCGTTTGATCATTTGGCATTTGCAATAGCATTTAGATTTGTTCAAAAAAAAGCAAAGTGAAAAATGGAAAATTTCGTTTTGGCGGATAGTGTATATATAGCGAACGTACCCAACACGAAATTCTCCCTCGAAACCCAATAAAAAATAATCTTTTCTTTCGGGTCGTGACGAAAATATTTTTTTCCCGATGCAAGATTCGAACCACCACCAAGTTACCAGTTGCTACACCATTGTCGTTACCATGCGACTATTCGCCTCTTTCGATAATGAGTGGTGTTTTTTATTTTACTTAAATCTTTTTTTTCAAGAGGCTAATGAAAAACATTTCGTCCAGCATTCAACCATTCCCCAAATAAACACGAGAACACCAAATTCTCCCGCGAAACCTAACAAAAAAGGAGTAAGTCTATTTTGACGAATTTTTCAACGGTTCAAAAACTGCTAAAAATGTCCTCGTAAGACTAATACCTTTCATTTTAGAGCATATTTGGTTGCTTCTTGGAACATTGAAAAGGTCGTCAATTTTGACTAAAATGGTAAGGCTTACCCCTTACAATTTTGGTAAATTTTGACAAGTTTTTGAGTTTGAGATGGGTGACCACACTTTGGTTATGATGTCAATTATTTATATAACAAAAGCATGTTTTGGTTATGGTGGGAAATTGTTGGGAAAATGTTGGGAAAATGTTGGGAAAATGTTGGAAAAATGTTGGAAAAATGTTGGGAAAATGTTGGGAAAATGTTGGAGAAATGTTGGGAAAATATTGGGAAAATAATAGGGAGATGTTGGGAAAAAGTTTGGAAAAAGTTTGGAAAAATTTGGGAAAATTTGGGAAAAAGTTGGGGAAATAGTGGTGTAAAGGTTGGGAAGATATTGGAAGAAAGTGTGAAAACTTTTGAAAGAAGTGGGAAAAAATATTGGTAAAATTGAGGGGAAATGTTGGAGTAAATTGAGAAAGGAAGGAAAGGGGAGAGGAAAGAGGGAGGAGGAGGGAAGGAGAAGAGAGGAAGAAGAAGGAGGAGAGGGAAGAGGAGGAGAAAGAGGGGGAGAAAGAAGAGGAGAGGAGAGGAGAGGAGAGGAGAGGGAAGAAGGGGGAAGGAAGGGAAGGGAGGGGGAGGGAGAGGGGAAGAGAGAAGGGAGAGAGAAAGGGGGGGGAGAGAGGAAAGAGGGGAGGAAGGAGGAGAAAGAAAGGGAAGGGAGGAAGAGAGAGAAGGAGAGGAAAAAGGGGGGGAAGGAAGGAAAGAAAAAAAAGAGGGGGAAAAAAAGGGAAGGGGAAGACGAAAAAAGGGGAAAAAGGAAGAAAAAAGAGGAGAGAAGAAAGGGGGGAAAAGAAAAGGGAGAAGAAAAAGAGAGAGAGAAAAAAGGGGAGGGGAGGGGAGGAAAGGAAAGGAAAGGGGAAGGAAGAAAGGAGAAGGGAAGAGAGAAAAGGAGGGAAAAGGGGGGGAAGAAAGAAAAGGAGAGAAGAGGAGAAAAAGAGAAGAGAGGAAGGGAAAAGAGGGGGGGAGAGGAGAAGAGAGGAGGAAAAAAGAAAGAGGAAAGGAAAAGGGGGAGGAGAAGAGGGGAAGAAAGAAGGAGAGGAAAGGGGAAGAGGAGGAGAGGGGGAGAGAAAGAAGGAAGAGGGAGAGGAAGGAGAAGGAGAGGGGAAGAAAAAAGAAGGAGAGGAAAGGAGAAGGAAGGGAGAAGGAAGGAGGAAGGAAAGGAAAAGGAAAAGGGAGAAGAGGGGAGAGAAGGGGGGAAGAGGAAAGAAGGGAGGGAAAAAAAGGAGGGGGGGAAAGAAGAGAAAGAGGAGGGAGGGAAAAGAAAGGGAGGAGGGAAAAAGGGGGGAAGAAAAAAAGGAGAAAGAGAAAAGGGAGGGAGAGGAAAAAAAAGAAAGGAGAGGGGAGGGGAAAAAAAGGAGGGGGGAGGAGAAGAAAAAAAGAGAGGAGAAAAAGAAAAGGGGAGGAGAAAAAAAGAGAAAGGGGAGGAAAGAGAAGAGAGGAGGAGAAGAAAAAAAAGGGGGGAAAAAAAAAGAGGGGAGGAGAGAAAAAGAGAGAGGGGGACAAAAAAGAGGGGGGAAAGAGAAAAAAGGGGAGGAAAAAAAAAGGAAGGAGGAGAAAAAAAAAGGGAGAAAAAAAAGAGGAGAGGAAGGGGAAGGGAAAGGGAAAAGGAAGGGGAGGGGGAAGGGAAGAGGAGGGAGAGGGAAAAAAGGAAGAGGAGGGAAAGGAAAGAGGAGGGAAGGGGAGAAGGGGAGGGAGAGGGAAAGGGGAGAAGAGGGAAGGGGAAAAAGGGAAAGGGAAAGAAAGGAAAGAGGAGGGAAGGGGAGAAGGGGAGGGAGAGGGAAAGGGGAGAAGAGGGAAGGGGAAAAAGGGAAAGGGAAAGAAAGGAAAGAGGAGGGAAGGGGGAAAAGAAAAGAAGAGGGAAGGGGAAAAGGGGAAGGAGAGGGAAAGGGAAGAAGAGGGAAGGGGAAGAAGGAAAGGAAAGGGGAAGAGGAGAGAAAAGGGAAGAGGGGGGAAGGGGAGAGGGAAAGGAGGGGAGAGGGAAAGGAGGGGAGAGAGAAGGAGAGGGAGGAAGGAAGGGAAGGGGAGAAGGGAGGGAAAGGAGAGGAGAGAGGAAGGAAAAAAGAAAGGGAGAGGAAAAAAAGGGGAGGAAAAGGGAGGAGGAAAAAGGGGAGAAAATAAAAGGAGAGAAAAAAGAAGGAGAAGGAAGAGAGAGGAAAAAAGGGAAGGGAAGGGAAAGAGAAGAGAAAAGGAAAAAGGGGGGAAGGGGAGAGGGAAAGGAGGGGGGAGGAAAGGAGAGGGAGGAAGGAAGGGAAGGGGAGAAGGGAAAGGAAGGGAGAGGAGAGAGGAAGGGAAGAAAAAAGGGAGGGGGAAGAAAGGGAAGGAAAAGGGAGGAGGAAAAAGGGAAGAAAGAAGGGGAGGAAAAAAAGGGGAAAAAGAAAGGGGAAAAAAAAAAGGGGGAAAAAAGGGAGAAAAAAAAGGGAGAAGAAAAGGGGGAGGAAAAAAAGGGGGAGAAAAAAAAGAAAAAGGGGGAGAAAAAAAGGGGAGAGAAAAAGGGGGAGAAAAAAAGGGGACAAAAAAAAGGGGGAGAAAAGAAAAGGGGAGGAGAAAAAAAAGAGGAGAGGAAGGGGAGGGGAAAGGGAAAAGGGGGGGAAGGGGAAGGGGAAGGGAAGAGGAGGGAAAGGGAAGAAGGGAAGAGGAGGGAAAGGAAAGAGGAGGGAAGGGGAAAAAGGGAAGGAGAGGGGGGAAAAGGGAGAAGAGGGAAGGGGAAAAAGGGAAGGGGAAAGAAAGGAAAGAAGAGGGAAGGGGAAGAAGAAAAGAAGAGGGAAGGGGGAAAGGGGAAGGAAAGGGAAAGGGAGGAAGAGGGAAGAGGAAAAGGGGAAGGAGAGGGAAAGGGAAGAAGAGGGAAGGGGGAGAAGGAAAGGAAAGGGAAAGAGGAGAGAAAAGGGAAGAGGGGGGAAGGGGAGAGGGAAAGGAGGGGAGAGAAAAGGAGAGGGAGGAAGGGAAGGGGAGAAGGGAAAGGAAGAAAGAGGAGAGAGGAAGGAAAAAAAAAAGGAGGGGAAAGAAAGGGAAGGAAAAGGGAGGAAAAAAAAGGGGAGGAAAAAAGGGAGAAAAAA